TTGTGACCTTACCGAATTTCACATTTCTTTGAATTGTCTGGAAAAATGTCTTTTTTATTAATGCTATGAATATCAATGGTGTTATTTTTGTTAGACATTCTAATTACTATAATTGGTGACTTAGCACAAGTGTAGCCATCTATGTGTAAAAACAATCAATAAAGTGGGCATGGTATTTACGTACATGCCATGCCCGTCAGTATTGAGTTAAGTAATCTTAGATTTGCTATATTCTGGCAACCATAAAGCACTTTAACAATACTCAAGAGACATAAAATAGAAGACTGCATGCTGGATATCATAGAAGTATATGGAGACAACACTGTATGAATGGACAATATGAGGATGACTTTAATGATCTCACCTCAAAGTTTTGCTTCGATGCCAGCATTTCTGCTTCATGTTTATTATTGATGTTCTGTAGGCGATACTGCCTTAGAATACAAGCGACCTCAAGCCTGACCCGCATAGCTTCCCTAAGCTCCTCCAGCGGAATCAGATATTCAGCCGCTTGTTCTATTCGTACCTCATCCAGCTTGGCTTCAACCTGAGTTACTCTTTCACGATATAGCCTGAAAAGAGACTCTTGATTATAGTTTGGATTTGCTATCTCAGTGTTAAACCTTTTTTTTTTTACATCAGCAGTTAAGAATGCTTTATCTTAATTTGTGGTTAACACTGGGGCACCTTAATACTACCTAGACTTATCAAAATGTACTTTTATTCAATTACCATACTCTGACATCTATTTTTTCTATAAAGTATCATCTTATATAAATATATATACATATACATATATATATATATATATATATATATATATATATATATATATATATATATATATATATATATATATGTTTATATATATATATATATATATATATATATATATATATATATATATATATATATATATATATATATATATATGTATATATATATATATATATATATATGTATATATATATGTATATATATATGTATATATATATATGTATATATATATATGTATATATGTATGTATATATGTATGTATATATGTATATATTATATAATAATATATATATCTATATATAATATATATAAATATAATATATAAATATATATATAATATATATAATATATTATATATATATATAGACTATATATATATATATATATCTATATATATATAGATACTATATATATATAATATAATATATCTATATAATATATTTAAATATATATATAATATATATATGATATATATATATATATAGCTATATATATATATATATATATAGATATATATATATATTATGTATGTTTGTATATTACATATACATACATATATATATATATATATATATTATATATATATAATATATATATATATATATATATATATATATATTATGAAGAGGTAGACTAAGGACAGTAGTGAAGAACTTCATATTTATTAAACGTTTCAGAGGTGAACATTAGGCCTCCATCATCAGTAAAACTGTCAAAAAGATCCAATGAAAAAAGACAATTAAGAATATGGATTATAGATTCTGAACAAATTGGCAAAAGTGTAAAAATAGCTAAGAGCAAATATATACAAATGCATAATGAAATCATAAAAAGAACGATATACAATGAAAAATAACGTATATACAAGAGAAAACTTGGCCTTCCGCTGAGTAAACCATATTTCTCGGCAATAAGAGAACACTCTCTACTCCACTCACACCCTTTCTCCTACGCAGATTTCAGTATTTTATCTTCCCATTCCTCCCGTCCAGACCTTATCATTTCCGAATCCCTACACATACAGAAGATGAATCCAGAACTATATATACACAACCACTGCAACAAACTTATTCACCTGATAGTCCTTCCTTCTCCCCAACACCCACTTTTGGTTAGTTTACCTGTTTTTGGTTGTTTATAGTTTTCTCTTGTATATACATTATTTTTCATTGTATATTGTTCTTTTTATGATTTCATTATGCCTTTGTACAGTTAGTTCCCCTACTTAAGGACATTCTACTTATGAACATTCCATACATACAAACAAAAATTTTTGAGTACTAAAGTCCAAAAAATTGTTTGAAAGATGCTAACAAACTTCAAATTCCTGGGCATGAATATAGTTCAAGAGTCTGGTACTGATATAAGGTATGTTGTATTTATTGGGGTTTATTTACACGTATTCTTAATGTAAACAAAACTTACAAACAGCCTCTCGGTCTCCATTATGTTGGGGACTTACTGTACATGTTTTGTTCTTAGTTATTTTTACACTTTTGCAAATTGTTCAGAACCTATATATCCATATTCTTAATTGTCCAACTATATATATATATATATATATATATATATATATATATATATATATATATATATATATATATATATATATACATACATATACACACACATACACACACACATATATTCATATATATATACATATATACATATATTCATATATATATATAATATATATATATATATATATATATATATAATA